CTATAGCAATAATAAGTCAAATCTTCATTAAAGCGTATTCTCATTCTCATTATCGCTAATGTCCCCTCCATTATCATTATTGATATCCCCCTGCTGCTGACCGTCAAATTCGAAGTTGTATTGTTGTCTTAACAAGACTTTCATTTTGTCCGCTAATGGGGCTACTGCTCTGAAGGTCAGCTGGAGCTTAATTTCCTGCCCACCGCTTGGTATTGGGGAACGTCTTGGCTTTGCATCTTCAACTGCTCCAGTAATCAATCCACCGTGGACCATGAAATAGTGGCACAGTTTACTCACTTCATGGGCAAGAAAAGTGAGAATCACGGTCCACCCTGAAATCTGATTTCTATAACCAAATTGTGATTTTTATAACGAAATTATGGTAGCAACCGCCAATAAAGTTACAGCCCTCCATCCACTGCTTCAAAAGTCTTCTCTAGAACATATGAGACTTCAGGTAAAATATGATGATCACCACCCCCTTGGAACCCCATAATCTGAGTCGGCGGGTTTTTTTATGACTGGTAAAATTTTTGACCGGGAAAAATATGGCGGAATCTTCCAAAACCCACCACTTTATCCCGGTTATAATAATCCCGAGTAAGGTACTAAGAAATCATGTACAAACAAAATATAACAGGGATTATTGACATGCTAATTTATCCTACATTGTTAGGGGAGGCTTTTTTTTCTTGAAATTGATCTTTAATATTATTATTATTAGCAAGTTTTCAGTAAAAATGTCCCTAATAAAAATATGCATCCCTTACATCACGGTGTTATGTTTAGTTTTGTGTTTTATCTCAATTACCAAATTCTTTTATCAGTTACTTGACCGCTGATGGAAGCTTCAGAACAGTTTGTTGATTCTTTATGAAAGTTGATGTAATTTTTGACATTCATTCCAAAAATCTACAAAATTTGATTGCATGAACTGTACTTATTTATCATGTTATTTATCATGTTAAAGAGTATGTTATAAATCACAATTTTTTTTGTGATAGTTTTAATAGAACGTTTCTATCATTGTGACAGCTTCTTACATTAACAGCGTTTTTAATCTTTTATCTTTTTGTACACTCTTACAATTAGGAGTTTAAAAAAATTGTAGAATATTATATCTTTTTAAACTTTATTTGATTGAGTCTCACTTGCCAACTGTGTACCAAATGATTTTTATGAACATAACATAGTATATACACGTTTCATAATTTTATTCTGATAAACTTCAAACACTCAGCCAGCAGGCCAACAATGTGAATTTGTAACTTCTTGTCATTTTTGACTGATTTCACTGTATTTAAAGATTTGCCTTAAAAATATGCTAATCATAATATCACTAGGCGAAGAATGGAGGAATTGATTGTGATAATAGTGCAAGATCAAGACCCATTTACTGTCAACCCAGCTATTTTAACTGGGAATAGTCCTGTCTTCACCAAACTGATCAATGAGTTTCATCAAACTGAGATAGACATGACAGATTTCAACACTGAAACTGTTGTATTGTTTTTGACCTATTTGAACTCAGATACTAAAAGGGTTGATTTCATAGATAACGATCATTTCCGGGAACTTCATAAACTTATCATGGTCTTTGAAGTGAAGTGGATGAAAGAGGATTGTCATCGTTTCTTTGAAAGATTAATTCGATCAAATGGGCTAATTGATGGTATTGACAGAATCGATCATTGTCATGAGCAAGGTCTGATAATTCCCTTTAGCATTCATTTTCATATGGTTTATGACTGGGATTTCAGTTACTCTATGTTTGTTTTAAAGGAGTGTGAATATATGGCTAACAAATGGGAGATCAGTTTATTCCAAATTTTATTGATTTGTTTGTAACTAACCAGAAATCTCAATATCAGTACATTCAGGATAAATTTTTAGAGGGGCTTCTGAACTTAGCTAGTCTGAACAATCTCAGTCATCTAGAAATTGATGTACTTCTTCAGATTCTTCAATATTCTCAGCTGGATATCCTGTTACAAGAGATTGTCAAGTATGTTGGAGACCACGATAACCATGAACTGACTGATGGCACTGTATTAAGGTATTTGCTAGAAAATCTTAACTTGCCACTCTGCAGAATCCGCCAACCTGAAATGTACGACAAGCTGGTAGACATATTTATAACAAAATTTGGGAATATGTCACTTAATGATGTCAGGTTATTGTGCATGAGTGCTGTTGCTTCTGCCAAATTGCCGGCGATAGAATCGAAATACAAGCTCAAGAATTTTGATTGGATAAGGGACACAGTTTTCGTTGATTTGACAGATGTTGTCCGTATTTGTGAAAATAAGCACGTTGAAAGTGTACACACTGTTGTTGATTTCATTCTTTATCTTGTTTTAAAGTTTTCAGACAAAGTGTTGCCGAAGATTGATCCTGAGAGTATTGTTATGAAGATTGAAGAAATTTGTCTCAAAAGAGACTTGGCTACAGCTCACAGACCGTATTTAAAAAAGTTACTAAATTGCTTAGAATCTATGAGGATAATGCGGTATATTAAATGTGAGTGTCCCTGTCGCAAGATCCAAGGAAAGACATCTCCTGGTGGTGATACGCCCTGCAATGACGGTAAAGCCCACAACGATTTTCATCCTGAAAATATCGAATACATAAAACTTCTGGATTTGATAAAACAAAGTAATGTCTTGTCCTCTCAGAATGATAATGTTGTCATATATACAAGCGAGGAGATTGAAGAGGCAGACATGTACCATTTCAAACATCCAGGGGTCCCTGACTGTTCCAGAAGGGGTAAATGTGGGTTTATCATAAAAACTGGAACATACGTCAATGTGGCAGACAAGGAAGTCCAGTTGGCAGAACTTCATAGGGATGATGTTTGGTCTTCTAAAAAGTCAAAGAATAGAGTTCATTGTCATGATCTTATATCACCAGAAAACTTCAGTTTAAATTATATAGAATTTGATAATTTTGTAGGAGCTAAGTTTATTAGAGAGTTAAGACCTAAATTCATAAAATCTGAGAAATTTGATGATCTTGAAGATATCTGTGCAGTACCTTTTCCTCTATACAGTGAATTTATCGATCCAAAATTTGATCCTAGTAATTTGGTTCATAAAAAAGGTATGGACCTGGGCGTAGGAAAAAAGTTTGTAATGTACAATATTGCTGATTATTTGATAAAGAAGAAACAATCGGCATGAGTATGAATCAGCTGTATTATCCGTTTACTAAGAAATTATGTACAAATAAAATATAATCCTACATTGTTAGGGGGAGGGTTTTTTCTTGAAATTGATCTTTAATATTAAGACGTTTTCAGTAAAAATGTCACCAATAAAATATGCATCTGCATCCCTTACATTACCATGTTATGTTTAGTTTTGTGCTACATCTCAATTAGCAAACTCTCTTATCAGTTACTTGACTGCTGATGGAAGCTTAAGATTTTGTATCTATAGTTTAATTGAATTATTTCGTTGATGAAAGTTTTTGCCGTTTTTGACATTTATTCCAAAAATCTACAAAATTTGATAGCATGAACTGTACAAACACTTAAACTTATATATCAAATAAAAACTACAACGTTAAACCTCTTAAAGGTTATCATGTTATTGATCATGTTGTTTATCATGTCAAAGATTATGTTATTTATCATGTTAAAGATTATTTTTTTTATCTTAAACTTTTCAAACAATACATAATTATACAGAATTGAATGCTTCTAAATAAACCCAGTTATAAAAGGAGAAACCGATATAGCCCTAAATTCCACTATCCCAGTATGAAACCCAAATTATGTATTGAAAGAGGGGTAACCAAAACACAGTAGTGTGCAGTAAGAAATACCACACCCGCAATAACATTGGGCCCTAGCAACAAATTAATTAATCAATGAATTAAAACATATAATATTGTATTTATAGAAAATATATCACTCTAAAGGCTCCTTCTCCGAGCTAATGACTCTAAAGTTCCTGATAACATGAACTTTGTCAGGCTCTGCTGTCCTTTTATTTATCAGTTGGTCGACAACTTTCTTGTAGGCTATTCTGTCTGCAGCTGATCTATCAGGAGTGATGTAAACTGAACTAAACCCGTCTACATGTCTTAGTAGCTTAGTCTTGCTCAAGATGGTACGAGCTTGATCTGAGCTTGACAAATTGAATTTCACTGGTCTGACTCGTTCACTTGTGTCCTTTCCAACTCGTTTACATCTCAAAATTTTCGGTTTTTCGTTGAGATGGTCCAACAAAATACCAGATACCTTAGCATCCAGGTTTTCCTCCGTCTCTGGAAGCCCAAAGATAATCAGGCTTTTACTTCGATCATCTTCTAGGGCAACTCTTTTCATGTTATTTATCATGTTAAAGATTATGTTTTTTATCATGTTGAAGATTATCTTAATTATCATGTTAAAGATTATGTTATTTATCATGTTGAAGATTATGTTATAAAGCACAGTTTTTTGTGATAGTCTTGATAGATTGTTTCTATCATTGTAATTTGTGACAGCTTCTAACATCAACACAATGGCGCAACGATTAACGAAGGGCCCCGCTGACCCCGCTGTGTGGGGGCGCCATCTTAGGGGGGCGCCAAATCGTCGTTTGAATGTGGGACAATTTGGAAAAACTAAACTACGGTACTTGCAAAACTGTGCGTAGGGGAGGGGCGCCAAAAGGGGAGGGGGCGCCAACACTTTTTCAGCGGGGCGCCAATAGGCAACGTTACGCCACTGCATTAACAGCACCTTTAATTCTTGACGTTTCTCTTTTTGTACACTCTTACAATTAGGATTTTTTTGTAATTGTAGAATATATCTCTTTTAACTTTATTTGATTGTGCCTCACTTGCCGACTGTGTACCAAATGATTTTTATGAACATAATATAGTAGATACATGTTTCATAATTTTATTCTGATAAACTTCAAACACTCAGCCAGCAAGCCAACACTGTAAAATAAATAACTTCTTGTCAGTTTTGACTGATAACAAAACCTTAACTTAACAAAAGTCGTGCGATTTCCTCAGAATAGCCATGACAGGAACTCTTGCTATGGAATCTGAACAGGCCAAATACCTTGACTCAGCCAAAGAGGTGGTGAAACGCGAGGCATTCAACATGCAGCGTTGCTTGGACAAGGGCCAGCTCATGGACGGACTGCGACATGCCACAGAAATGTTGAACGAACTGAGGACGTCTATCCTGATGCCAAAGAGTTACTATGAACTGTACATGATGGTAACCATGGAGCTGACCCATCTCACTATGTATATGTCAGCAGAGTTTATCAAGGAGAATAAGATAGCTGATCTGTATGAACTTGTTCAGCATGCAGGGAATATCATCCCCCGTTTGTATGTATTTTAAGTAAATATTTTAAAATGCTAATAATTACTCCTATTCCATACCACTGGTATGGAATAGGAGTAATTATACCACTTTGCATTATACCACTTTGTATTATACCACTTTGAATTTGGGCACAATTAAGTTTTTGAGAACCTTTTAATCGGCACTAAATTAAAATCAGAATTCAATACAATGAGATATATTGAATTTGTATTTGGCAGGTATTTGCTGATAACTGTGGGAGTTGTGTACATCAGGAGTAAGGAATGTTCCCGCAAGGATATACTCCAGGTCAGTAATGCAGGATTCATTGAAATCAACCCAATCTCAGTTCGTCTTTCTATCATTCAGAGCAATCCACATTACTCCTGAAGGCTAAATATAAATAAACTCTCGTCCAGGATCTAGTTGAGATGTATCTAAATCTAAATTAACTCTCGTCCAGGATCTAGTTGAGATGTATCTAAATCTAAATTAACTCTCGTCCAGGATCTAGTTGAGATGTGTCTAAATCTAAATTAACTCTCGTCCAGGATCTAGTTGAGATGTGTCTAAATCTAAATTAACTCTCGTCCAGGATCTAGTTGAGATGTGTCTAAATCTAAATTAACTCTCGTCCAGGATCTAGTGGAGATGTGTCTAAATCTAAATTAACTCTCGTCCAGGATCTAGTTGAGATGTGTCTAAATCTAAATTAACTCTCGTCCAGGATCTAGTGGAGATGTGTCTAAATCTAAATTAACTCTCGTCCAGGATCTAGTTGAGATGTGTCTAAATCTAAATTAACTCTCGTCCAGGATCTAGTTGAGATGTGTCTAAATCTAAATTAACTCTCGTCCAGGATCTAGTGGAGATGTGTCTAAATCTAAATTAACTCTCGTCCAGGATCTAGTGGAGATGTGTCTAAATCTAAATTAACTCTCGTCCAGGATCTAGTTGAGATGTGTCTAAATCTATATTAACTCTCGTCCAGGATCTAGTGGAGATGTGTCTAAATCTATATTAACTCTCGTCCAGGATCTAGTTGAGATGTGTCTAAATATAAATTAACTCTCGTCCAGGATCTAGTTGAGATGTGTCTAAATCTAAATTAACTCTCGTCCAGGATCTAGTTGAGATGTGTCTAAATCTAAATTAACTCTCGTCCAGGATCTAGTTGAGATGTGTCTAAATCTAAATTAACTCTCGTCCAGGATCTAGTTGAGATGTGTCTAAATCTAAATTAACTCTCGTCCAGGATATAGTTGAGATGTGTCTAAATCTAAATTAACTCTCGTCCAGGATCTAGTTGAGATGTGTCTAAATCTAAATTAACTCTCGTCCAGGATCTAGTTGAGATGTGTCTAAATCTAAATTATCTCTCGTCCAGGATATAGTTGAGATGTGTCTAAATCTAAATTAACTCTCGTCCAGGATCTAGTTGAGATGTGTCTAAATCTAAATCAACTCTCGTCCAGGATCTAGTTGAGATGTGTCTAAATCTAAATTAACCATCGTCCAGGATCTAGTTGAGATGTGTCTAAATCTAAATTAACTCTCGTCCAGGATCTAGTGGAGATGTGTCTAAATATAAATTAACTCTCGTCCAGGATCTAGTTGAGATGTGTCTAAATCTAAATTAACTCTCGTCCAGGATCTAGTTGAGATGTGTCTAAATCTAAATTAACTCTCGTCCAGGATCTAGTGGAGATGTGTCTAAATCTAAATTAACTCTCGTCCAGGATCTAGTTGAGATGTGTCTAAATCTAAATTAACTCTCGTCCAGGATCTAGTTGAGATGTGTCTAAATCTAAATTAACTCTCGTCCAGGATCTAGTTGAGATGTGTCTAAATCTAAATTAACTCTCGTCCAGGATCTAGTTGAGATGTGTCTAAATCTAAATTAACTCTCGTCCAGGATCTAGTTGAGATGTGTCTAAATCTAAATTAACTCTCGTCCAGGATCTAGTTGAGATGTGTCTAAATCTAAATTAACTCTCGTCCAGGATCTAGTTGAGATGTGTCTAAATCTAAATTAACTCTCGTCCAGGATCTAGTTCTAGTTGAGATGTGTCTAAATCTAAATTAACTCTCGTCCAGGATCTAGTTGAGATGTGTCTAAATCTAAATTAACTCTCGTCCAGGATCTAGTTGAGATGTGTCTAAATCTAAATTAACTCTCGTCCAGGATCTAGTTGAGATGTGTCTAAATCTAAATTAACTCTCGTCCAGGATCTAGTTGAGATGTGTCTAAATCTAAATTAACTCTCGTCCAGGATCTAGTTGAGATGTGTCTAAATCTAAATTAACTCTCGTCCAGGATCTAGTTGAGATGTGTCTAAATCTAAATTAACTCTCGTCCAGGATCTAGTTGAGATGTGTCTAAATCTAAATTAACTCTCGTCCAGGATCTAGTTGAGATGTGTCTAAATCTAAATTAACTCTCGTCCAGGATCTAGTTGAGATGTGTCTAAATCTAAATTAACTCTCGTCCAGGATCTAGTTGAGATGTGTCTAAATCTAAATTAACTCTCGTCCAGGATCTAGTTGAGATGTGTCTAAATCTAAATTAACTCTCGTCCAGGATCTAGTTGAGATGTGTCTAAATCTAAATTAACTCTCGTCCAGGATCTAGTTGAGATGTGTCTAAATCTAAATTATCTCTCGTCCAGGATCTAGTTGAGATGTGTCTAAATCTAAATTAACTCTCGTCCAGGATCTAGTTGAGATGTGTCTAAATCTAAATTAACTCTCGTCCAGGATCTAGTTGAGATGTGTCTAAATCTAAATTAACTCTCGTCCAGGATCTAGTTGAGATGTGTCTAAATCTAAATTAACTCTCGTCCAGGATCTAGTTGAGATGTGTCTAAATCTAAATTAACTCTCGTCCAGGATCTAGTTGAGATGTGTCTAAATCTAAATTAACTCTCGTCCAGGATCTAGTTGAGATGTGTCTAAATCTAAATTAACTCTCGTCCAGGATCTAGTTGAGATGTGTCTAAATCTAAATTAACTCTCGTCCAGGATCTAGTTGAGATGTGTCTAAATCTAAATTAACTCTCGTCCAGGATCTAGTTGAGATGTGTCTAAATCTAAATTAACTCTCGTCCAGGATCTAGTTGAGATGTGTCTAAATCTAAATTAACTCTCGTCCAGGATCTAGTTGAGATGTGTCTAAATCTAAATTAACTCTCGTCCAGGATCTAGTTGAGATGTGTCTAAATCTAAATTAACTCTCGTCCAGGATCTAGTTGAGATGTGTCTAAATCTAAATTAACTCTCGTCCAGGATCTAGTTGAGATGTGTCTAAATCTAAATTAACTCTCGTCCAGGATCTAGTTGAGATGTGTCTAAATCTAAATTAACTCTCGTCCAGGATCTAGTTGAGATGTGTCTAAATCTAAATTAACTCTCGTCCAGGATCTAGTTGAGATGTGTCTAAATCTAAATTAACTCTCGTCCAGGATCTAGTTGAGATGTGTCTAAATCTAAATTAACTCTCGTCCAGGATCTAGTTGAGATGTGTCTAAATCTAAATTAACTCTCGTCCAGGATCTAGTTGAGATGTGTCTAAATCTAAATTAACTCTCGTCCAGGATCTAGTTGAGATGTGTCTAAATCTAAATTAACTCTCGTCCAGGATCTAGTTGAGATGTGTCTAAATCTAAATTAACTCTCGTCCAGGATCTAGTTGAGATGTGTCTAAATCTAAATTAACTCTCGTCCAGGATCTAGTTGAGATGTGTCTAAATCTAAATTAACTCTCGTCCAGGATCTAGTTGAGATGTGTCTAAATCTAAATTAACTCTCGTCCAGGATCTAGTTGAGATGTGTCTAAATCTAAATTAACTCTCGTCCAGGATCTAGTTGAGATGTGTCTAAATCTAAATTAACTCTCGTCCAGGATCTAGTTGAGATGTGTCTAAATCTAAATTAACTCTCGTCCAGGATCTAGTTGAGATGTGTCTAAATCTAAATTAACTCTCGTCCAGGATCTAGTTGAGATGTGTCTAAATCTAAATTAACTCTCGTCCAGGATCTAGTTGAGATGTGTCTAAATCTAAATTAACTCTCGTCCAGGATCTAGTTGAGATGTGTCTAAATCTAAATTAACTCTCGTCCAGGATCTAGTTGAGATGTGTCTAAATCTAAATTAACTCTCGTCCAGGATCTAGTTGAGATGTGTCTAAATCTAAATTAACTCTCGTCCAGGATCTAGTTGAGATGTGTCTAAATCTAAATTAACTCTCGTCCAGGATCTAGTTGAGATGTGTCTAAATCTAAATTAACTCTCGTCCAGGATCTAGTTGAGATGTGTCTAAATCTAAATTAACTCTCGTCCAGGATCTAGTTGAGATGTGTCTAAATCTAAATTAACTCTCGTCCAGGATCTAGTTGAGATGTGTCTAAATCTAAATTAACTCTCGTCCAGGATCTAGTTGAGATGTGTCTAAATCTAAATTAACTCTCGTCCAGGATCTAGTTGAGATGTGTCTAAATCTAAATTAACTCTCGTCCAGGATCTAGTTGAGATGTGTCTAAATCTAAATTAACTCTCGTCCAGGATCTAGTTGAGATGTGTCTAAATCTAAATTAACTCTCGTCCAGGATCTAGTTGAGATGTGTCTAAATCTAAATTAACTCTCGTCCAGGATCTAGTTGAGATGTGTCTAAATCTAAATTAACTCTCGTCCAGGATCTAGTTGAGATGTGTCTAAATCTAAATTAACTCTCGTCCAGGATCTAGTTGAGATGTGTCTAAATCTAAATTAACTCTCGTCCAGGATCTAGTTGAGATGTGTCTAAATCTAAATTAACTCTCGTCCAGGATCTAGTTGAGATGTGTCTAAATCTAAATTATCTCTCGTCCAGGATCTAGTTGAGATGTGTCTAAATCTAAATTAACTCTCGTCCAGGATCTAGTTGAGATGTGTCTAAATCTAAATTAACTCTCGTCCAGGATCTAGTTGAGATGTGTCTAAATCTAAATTAACTCTCGTCCAGGATCTAGTTCTAGTTGAGATGTGTCTAAATCTAAATTAACTCTCGTCCAGGATCTAGTTGAGATGTGTCTAAATCTAAATTAACTCTCGTCCAGGATCTAGTTGAGATGTGTCTAAATCTAAATTAACTCTCGAGTCTCGTCCAGGATCTAGTTGAGATGTGTCTAAATCTAAATTAACTCTCGTCCAGGATCTAGTTGAGATGTGTCTAAATCTAAATTAACTCTCGTCCAGGATCTAGTTGAGATGTGTCTAAATCTAAATTAACTCTCGTCCAGGATCTAGTTGAGATGTGTCTAAATCTAAATTAACTCTCGTCCAGGATCTAGTTGAGATGTGTCTAAATCTAAATTAACTCTCGTCCAGGATCTAGTTGAGATGTGTCTAAATCTAAATTAACTCTCGTCCAGGATCTAGTTGAGATGTGTCTAAATCTAAATTATCTCTCGTCCAGGATCTAGTTGAGATGTGTCTAAATCTAAATTAACTCTCGTCCAGGATCTAGTTGAGATGTGTCTAAATCTAAATTAACTCTCGTCCAGGATCTAGTTGAGATGTGTCTAAATCTAAATTAACTCTCGTCCAGGATCTAGTTGAGATGTGTCTAAATCTAAATTAACTCTCGTCCAGGATCTAGTTGAGATGTGTCTAAATCTAAATTAACTCTCGTCCAGGATCTAGTTGAGATGTGTCTAAATCTAAATTAACTCTCGTCCAGGATCTAGTTGAGATGTGTCTAAATCTAAATTAACTCTCGTCCAGGATCTAGTTGAGATGTGTCTAAATCTAAATTAACTCTCGTCCAGGATCTAGTTGAGATGTGTCTAAATCTAAATTAACTCTCGTCCAGGATCTAGTGGAGATGTGTCTAAATCTAAATTAACTCTCGTCCAGGATCTAGTTGAGATGTGTCTAAATCTAAATTAACTCTCGTCCAGGATATAGTTGAGATGTGTCTAAATCTAAATTAACTCTCGTCCAGGATCTAGTTGAGATGTGTCTAAATCTAAATTAACTCTCGTCCAGGATCTAGTTGAGATGTGTCTAAATCTAAATTAACTCTCGTCCAGGATCTAGTGGAGATGTGTCTAAATCTAAATTAACTCTCGTCCAGGATCTAGTTGAGATGTGTCTAAATCTAAATTAACTCTCGTCCAGGATCTAGTTGAGATGTGTCTAAATCTAAATTAACTCTCGTCCAGGATCTAGTTGAGATGTGTCTAAATCTAAATTAACTCTCGTCCAGGATCTAGTGGAGATGTGTCTAAATCTAAATTAACTCTCGTCCAGGATCTAGTGGAGATGTGTCTAAATCTAAATTAACTCTCGTCCAGGATCTAGTTGAGATGTGTCTAAATCTAAATTAACTCTCGTCCAGGATCTAGTTGAGATGTGTCTAAATCTAAATTAACTCTCGTCCAGGATCTAGTTGAGATGTGTCTAAATCTAAATTAACTCTCGTCCAGGATCTAGTTGAGATGTGTCTAAATCTAAATTAACTCTCGTCCAGGATCTAGTTGAGATGTGTCTAAATCTAAATTAACTCTCGTCCAGGATCTAGTTGAGATGTGTCTAAATCTAAATTAACTCTCGTCCAGGATCTAGTTGAGATGTGTCTAAATCTAAATTAACTCTCGTCCAGGATCTAGTTGAGATGTGTCTAAATCTAAATTAACTCTCGTCCAGGATCTAGTTGAGATGTGTCTAAATCTAAATTAACTCTCGTCCAGGATCTAGTTGAGATGTGTCTAAATCTAAATTAACTCTCGTCCAGGATCTAGTTGAGATGTGTCTAAATCTAAATTAACTCTCGTCCAGGATATAGTTGAGATGTGTCTAAATCTAAATTAACTCTCGTCCAGGATATAGTTGAGATGTGTCTAAATCTAAATTAACTCTCGTCCAGGATCTAGTTGAGATGTGTCTAAATCTAAATTAACTCTCGTCCAGGATCTAGTTGAGATGTGTCTAAATCTAAATTAACTCTCGTCCAGGATCTAGTGGAGATGTGTCTAAATCTAAATTAACTCTCGTCCAGGATCTAGTTGAGATGTGTCTAAATCTAAATTAACTCTCGTCCAGGATCTAGTGGAGATGTGTCGAGGTGTTCAGCACCCACTTAGGGGACTCTTCCTCCGAAACTTCCTGCTAACTTCCACCAGGGATGTCCTTCCAGATGTTGATGAGACGTTAGTTATATTATTACTTAGTAAATTTGTTTCTTTTTGTGGAGAACTTTAACCGTAAATTGTCCTCTTAAAAAATAGAGGCAGTTTATTTCTTATATTACTATTACTGTGTACTGGATGAACCCTTTTTATTTAGATCGGAAGATACTGGCACAGTCGATGACAGCATCGATTTCATTCTTTTAAATTTCTCTGAGATGAATAAACTATGGGTTCGAATGCAGCACCAGGTATGTAGGTTTATATTGACAAACTATATCTCCTTATTCGTTCATTTTATGTTAAATTGACTGAAAAAATATATCTGTTTTTCACCCCTTACTTATCAATTTTATTATTTAAGTATGCAACTATCTCAAGGGACATTCTCGGGACAGAACTAAGCGTGAACAGGAGAGGTTGGAGTTGAAGATCCTTGTAGGAACGAACTTGGAACGGCTAAGCAGACTCGAGGGCGTGACTGTTAGCAAGTATCAAAATGTAGGGATATGTTTTAATGTTTACTTTTTTTTACAATAACAGCAATTTTAAAGTAAATACAATAGTATTGAGGAGAATCATTTAATATTCATGATACGAATCAAAATTTATGAACGTAAATCAATGTTTATTAATCCGTTTTAAATTATGCTCACCCGACACACCCTTCAGCATGTGCTACCTGCTATACTGAAACAACTCATCAACTGCAAAGACAGCATCGCTCAAGAGTACCTCATGGATTGCATTATCCAGGTATTTAAGATATGTATTTGACCACCTCTCACCCGATTTGTTTTCTTATATTGTTTTGAAATAGATACTTCTTAGGTGGTATAAGCGAAATATATTTCTTCCTCGGCGAAATCTGATACTCTGATAAGCTAACGGCTAAGGTTTCGATTCAAATATGACTTGTCTTTGGATCAAATTGCAAGTTGGCACATTTAGTCAGTCTGTCACAGTTTACCAAAAAAATGTCAGATATCTGGAAGGCGCGGAGCAAGCAGTCTATATACAACCCCGCGCACCTACGGTTGATCTTGTAAACGCGTTGCTTTCTTACGAATTGCAAGTTCGGAAGAAAACATGTCGACTGAATGGAATTCGTATCACTGATCTAATCTGGTTTCAGGTATTTCCTGACGAATTTCACTTGAAAACCTTGGACATATTCTTGGATACTTGCTGTCAACCTCAGGTATGAAGTTACTTTTAAGATTATCATGTGTCACAGAATGTAAGTGTAAAATGGTATCTTAAAAAACACTGTGCTATCTCAAAGAATGGAATAGTTCCGGTCGGCATCCCCGTAAAAATAACGAACAATTCACTCAGGGCGCTGTCAATGTGAGAAATATTTTGATCAGCAAGATTGGTCGTCTTTCAAACTACGCTCAGGCAGATCCTAACAATATCCCAGAAGATATCAAATTGTTCGAGATATTCAGTGGTAAAGTGACCCAAATCATACAGGTTGGTATTGGTGCAAGTTGGCCCAAATTTTACCTAAACGATGTTTACCAAGCTGACTAATTGTCATAATTTGTATTTCTACTGTTTTTTCCTAGTTTGTTCATAAAACAAACCATTTTTCATTTCAGAGCCGCACTGAAATGCCTCCAGAGGACATCCTAGCGCTGCAATCAGCATTGATAAAACTAGCCCTCAACGTGTATCCGACCGAGACAGGATACGTCGACCAAGTCCTTCAAAACTCTTTCAACATTTTCGAGGAAGACAAGTATGTATTCTCGTAGGGTTCCCTGATCCCTCCACTTTTGTGTCAATAATGGAAAACAAAGAAACCTTAATATATAAACTTAAAATTTTGGCCGTAAATTTGAATCAAATCTAATCCCAATGACCGCAGATCACGAGCTAAAGGGTGCTCGACTGAGCTGAGTCGCATGCTGAGAGTGCCAGTGGACCACTACCAGGACATTCTAACAATCCTTCAGCTGGAACATTTCACCCCTCTCTTCAGCTTCCTGGACCATCGTGTCAGAAAGGAGTTGTGCGTTTATATTACGGAACACGTCATCCAGACTGACACTCACATCGACTCCCATGACCAGGTCAGATTTTAATTTTAGTTTTTAAAATTTTATATCTATTGCTCAGAATTGGTATGTTAACAAAAATATCACACAACTTCGTCATTTGGCCGATGGAAGTTTTGAATGTTTAGCCAATTGCTAAAATGTAAGGGCGAGTTTTCGCACCTTTTCTTGTCCGTACGGTTCTGATCTTTATGCGTGTCTTGAGATATCTGGGTTAAAGGATATCGCTGAAAAACTGGGAGGGAGAGGTTTCGCGGGGCTGTTGCGCAGCTGTTGCACGGCTGTTGCGGGGCTGTTGCGGGGCTGTTGCGGGGCTGTTGCGGGGCTGTTGCGGGGCTGTTGCGGGGCTGTTGCACGGCTGTTGCGGGGCTGTTGCGGGGCTGTTGCGGGCTGTTGCGGGGCTGTTGCGGGGCTGTTGCGGGGCTGTTGCGGGGCTGTTGCGGGGCTGTTGCGGGGCTGTTGCGGGGCTGTTGCGGGGCTGTTGCGGGGCTGTTGCGGGGCTGTTGCGCAGCTGTTGCACGGCTGTTGCGGGGCTGTTGCGGCTGTGGGCTGTTGCGGGCTGTTGCCGCAGCCTGTTGCCAGGGCCTGTTGCGGTGCTGTTGCGGGGCTGTTGCCGGGCTGTGCGGGCTGTTGCAGGGCTGTTGCGGGGCTGCTTGCGCAGCTGTTGCACGGCTGTTGCGGGGCTGTTGCGGGGCTGTTGCGCGGGCTGTTGGCGGGGCAGTTGCGGGGGCTGTTGCGGGGCTGTTGCGGGCTGTGGCGGGGTTGTTGCGGGCTGTTGGCAGCTGTTGCGGGGCAGTTGCGCAGATGTTGCGGGGTGTTGGCAGTTGTTGCGGGTCTGTGCGGGCTGTTGCGGGGCTGTTGCGGGGCTCTCAATAAGTGCCGGTGTAATTACCAGCTGTTAATATTTACCTATTAATATTGAGGTTTCTTCGGGTGTTGTAAGGCGCAGGTTGTAACGTGTCACTCCTGAAATTCCTCAAGTTTAAATTATGTCTTACTATTTCTAAAGCGAGACGATAACATACATGAACTTAAATGATACTTTAACACGACTTTGTTTCTAGATATTCAAAAATCGAATAATTATTATAATCTTATATTCTACACAAAGAATAGTCGTGTCAACTTGCTGTTCACCTACCCCATGTAGCCTTTGTAGCACAGAGGTTGTTGTTTTCCCAGCCCAAATTTTTCGGTGTTTCTGGATCATTCCAGCTCAAGCACTGCAGTCCGGAAATATTGTCTCCATCCTCGTGGAACCAAGATAGAGTGTAGGGTGATCCAAACGGCACGCAAAGTCGGTTGTCAGCCCAGATGGGAGTTTTAGGCTCCTCGACTATCACACATCTCATATAATTGGATATCAGTCCACCGGGGCGATGAATTCCTTGGAAATCATAGATATAAAATATAAATTATTTATCTTATTTGTGTAAGCACTTAAAGCAGGCCGTATTCGAATTGGGGACTAGAATTAAATTCATCTGAATTTTGCTTCTTTTTTAATATAATTTGAATTTATATACCCCATATGTCGAATCGAAAGTCGGGATGTCTTTTCTCAACAATCCAGCACAGAAAGTTGGTCTTGTCTGTCCACCCTACTGTGACTTCATATAGTAGAAGGCAGGAGTATCCGTCTTTTCTGCCGTCAAAACTCATAGCAAAGTCATCTGGCCAAACTGGCAGGTCTTCTGAAAGTGATTTTACATTAAATAAGAAACGTGCTTAAGATATTTTGAAAATCATTATTTCATCCGGATTTATGTAAATATTTTCCAAATTGCTCACCACTCATTGTAGCGCAGAGGTAGTTGTTTTCCCAGCCCAAATTTTTCGGTGTTTCCGGATCATTCCAGCTCAAGCACTGCAGTCCGGAAATATCGTCTACATCCTCGTGGAACCAAGATAGAGTGTAGGGTGATCCAAACGGCACACAAAGTCGGTTGTTCTCCCAATATGCCGATTTAGGCTCCTCGACCATCACACATCTCATATAATTGGATATCAGTCCACCGGAGCGAGCAGCTCCTTGGAATTCATAGATTATTTATCTTATTAGTGTAAGCACTTAAAACAGGCCGTGTTCTAATTGGGGACTACAATTAAATTCAACTCAATTTTTTATATGATATGAATCGATTAAATTTACCCCATATGTCGAATCGAAAGTCGGGATGTCGTTTCTCAACAATCCAGCACAGAAAGTTGGTCTTGTCTGTCCACCCTACTGTGACTTCATATAGTAGAAGGCAGGAGTGGCCTTGTTTTCTGCCGTCAAAACTCATGGCAAAGTCATCTGGCCAAACTGGCAGGTCTTCTGAAAATGTTTTTACATTATAAAGGAGAAAGTTGTGCTTAAGATATTTTGAAAATCATTATTTTATCCGAATTTATTATTTATATGTGAATATTTTCCAAATTGCTCACCACTCATTGTAGCACATAGGTAGTTGTTTTCCCAGCCCAAATTTTTCGGTGTTTGCGGTTCATTCCAGCTCAAGCACTTCAGTCCGGAAATATTGTCTCCATCCTCGTGGAACCAAGATAGAGTGTAGGGTGATCCAAACGGCACGCAAAGTCGGTTGTCAGCCCAGTGGGTAGTTTTAGGCTCCTTTACTATCACACATATCATATTATTGGATATCAGTCCACCGGGGCGAGCAGCTCCTTGGAATTCATAGATATAAATTATTTATCTTATTAGTGTAAGCACTTACAGCAGGCCGTATTCTAATCGGGGACTAGAATTAAATTCAACTCAATTTTTTATATTATATGATATGAATTGATTTACCCCATATGTCGAATCGAAAGTCAGGATGTCTTTTCTCAACAATCCAGCACAGAAAGTTGGTCTTGTCTGTCCACCCTACTGTAAATTCATGTAGTAGAAGGCAGGAGTGGCCTTGTTTTCTGCCGTCAAAACTCATGGCAAAGTCATCTGGCCAAACTGGCAGGTCTTCTGAAAGTGTTTTTACGTTAAACGTTTTTAAAAGATATTTTGAAAATCATTATTTTATCCGAATTTATGTAATAATTTTCCAAATTGCTCACCACTCATTGTAGCGCAGAGGTAGTTGTTTTCCCAGCCCAAATTTTTCGGTGTTTCTGGATCATTCCAGCTCAAGCACTTCAGTCCGGAAATATCGTCTACATCCTCGTGGAACCAAGATAGAGTGTAGGGTGATCCAAACGGCACGCAAAGTCGGTTGTTCTCCCAATATGCCGATTTAGGCTCCTTGACTATCACACATCTCATATGATTGGAAATCAGTCCACCGATGCGAGCAGTTCCTAAGAGTTTATCATTCATTCATTTTACAGACAATATATTTTTACATTTCACAAATTTGTAATCTTAGTCATGAGCATTGAGCATGTTGTGTTAAAACTTAAATATGCCAGTATATATTACAGTATCTTCAATATAGTTGTAATTAAAGAAACAATAATTTCAGTCACCAAACTGCAGTTTTATCCAATTCCTCTGAATGGAATGTTTTAATCGTACGTATATTTCAGTTACGTATACTTAGTTTCGCTTAAAACCTATTAGCATGATCAAGATCTAACCTAATTGGTCGAACTGTATGTCGGGGTTTCTCGTTCTTGCTTTCCAACACAGATAATTGGTTTCATCGTCCCAACCTTTTGTTTTTTCTTCAAGCAGGATGCAGGTAAAGCCTTCTTTTTTTCCGTTGAAACTCATGGCAAAGTCATCTGGCCAAACTGGTAATTCTGAGAAATTATAATTTATTCGGATTCTGATCATGGCTAAGAAGTGAGTCCAGTCTGGTAATCTCACAACTTCACAAAAACGTTAAGGTTTTCTTTTTATTTTGCTAGGAAATACTGATGAAAGATGAAATGTGAGCTTAACTTTGCATCCAATTGAACGAGTGGTGCGGGAGGTACTGCATTTCATACTTGCAATGAAATCAAAGATATTCCTTGGTCGGTCCGAAAAACTCAAAATCTTGTTCACTTACCCAAGGCATGGCAAGGAGGCACCACAAACCAAACAATTATGACGATCACCATAGCTGTCATTATATCCAAGTGTTTTCTTCAGTTTCGGTTGAAGAACTCTTCAGAAAACGCTAAACGAGTTTAAATGATCCTAGCGTTCACGCTAAACGAGCGTTCATAGAACTACAATATCAACAAGTCTAAATACCATCCTAGCGTTCATAGAACTACAATATCAACAAGTCTCAATACCATAGAACTACAATATCAACAAGTCTAAATACCATTGAACAGTTTTTGTAAAACTATTAAATAACAACCTCCTTGATAGATCTGAGCCACTGGGGGACTTTGTGACCGGAAACTGATCCGGCCCTCAAAGAGGGTCAGATCACGTCAGTCGTCACCAATCAGTGACGTACAATTAGTGATACTGATGTGATCCGTGGATTGAATATAATTACCTAGAAATGGGCTAGATCTGGGGTAGAGTTCATATGACAACTCTGTATGGCATGATCTGAGCTGTCTGGAATGATCTCATAAATTAAATATTTCAAGTCCTTTTTAGCCGGTCTTGCGTGTGGCTGGAGAACATAAACGCATTATTTGAAGATCCAGCCGGTTTTAGCAAAGGGCAGAGGGGAAGGCACAAATCGTAAAAAAATTATTATAAACTGAGCCCATTTGACATCGGCCTCATTGTCAGCTCATTTGATATACTTGCTAATTTAAGGGATGAAGGTTTTACCACAGGTGGCCGTCTCTGGGTCTGAGCATTGGGCGAGGGACATATCTTAATATACTGCTAAACTAATGAAAATGGTGCGCACTCATTAAAATATGTTAAAAGCTATGCTCCTGGATATGGGACTCATTGTATAAAATTTGATGGTTTAGAGCTGATTTGCGAAGGCAACTTGGTACCTTGAATTATTGAAGTGGTAGAATTGTTGGCCCAGTCTGCTAGACGCACCTCACTGTACTAAAGATAATTCTGTCCTTCAAGAGTTCTAGAGGTCTATGAATTTTGCATCGTTGAGGTAACGAGCTCGCTGTGATGTTAGCTCCATCTAGGGTACACGTACTGTAGTTCGACAAGAGCTGCGACTGGGTGAAAGGGATATCCATAAAGACACATTTTGTAATTTAGATTAGCTTTCAATTCAGTTTTTTCATATAAAAACTGAACTTCGAAAAATACCGAAATTTAAAAAAAGTCGTGTGGAGGTCCACCACAAGACCTCGCCTATATTCCGTATCATAAGGTAAGATAACAATGTATAATGAAGCTTCTAACATCTATCATAACCTCCCAATATTCTACAGTATTATTTCAGGTTGACCTATTCCTGACGATGATGTCCTGTTTGATCTCCGACCAAGATGACCAGCCAAAAGAACCCGAGGATCCAGAGGACTTTGAGATTCAACAGAGTCTTGTTGGTAAGTTGGATCTTGTTTTATCAAAGTTGGGGCAGGTGATCACCATTTTTTATTCAAATTTCCTCATCTATTCGCTGATTTTGCGACGGCAGAAAAATTTCATTGGATTTTCAAATTGTCTCAAATTTTTGTATGCTTGATATTTTATCGTTACACTTGGTAAAGTTATTGAGGATTTGGCAAAAGAGTGAAACAAAAGATAATATTCTGAATTACAGTAAAATACGAAGATTTGTGTAGGGATTAAGTTGGGCTTGTGGAACCCGTAAGGGGGACATACATAGGTTAGAATGGTTTTGTGCACCAAGAGGAGTGAGGGAATGAGGGTTGAAGAGAGAGAGCTTGAGAGTTGTTAGGGTGGTTAGGATCAGTAGGTGGAGTGTTTGGTTGGAGCTTTCTGTTTTTGCTGTATAGCATTTTAGTCACTCCGCAGTTTATTAACTGTGTCTCAACTCTGCTTTGTTGAATACTGCTGGGATAGGCCAGCTACCATGGGGTAAGACCCATATGATAAGACAGATAGTATGCCTGGTTTTGGTCTTTAGGTTGGGTAGTGGTCGGAGCCTGCAGCGGATCTGCAATAGAGAAGTCAGACGGGGTCATAAAAGTGGCTACCTCAGCCTACATCGGTACCACGCCTCCTGCTTCTCTAAGGCCCCGGGAGTCTTTATTTAGAGACGAGTTGCCCGGGTTAACAATAAAGGCTTTGTAGGCATCCCTCCACTTACCTGTACTCCGGAAAAGGACAAACTTAGGTAGTCGAGAGTCCTCGACGGTTGAAGCAGGAGAGGGACAGAGTTGTATCTGTGTATGTGGACGTCGGTTTGACACAGTCAAAGGCAGGAATATCCATCGGGGTCGAATGAAGTGCATTTGGGAAGGGGAGTCGTCGGCTGGCAGTATGCCTGTAACTTCGACGGAGGTATCTAGCCAGGAAAACAACCACAGTGCTAGAGATATCCGGGCTCTCCTTGACAAGAGAATTTCAGTCGAACCACCTGCTAGCAAAAGAGACAAGGTGAAGTGGCCGGCGTCCAATGATGGTCGATGGAGTAAGTTTGATGAGTGTGTGGTAGAGAAGTTTGCAGTGGTTCTCAAGCGGAAACCATTTCAAGAGAAGATGGTGAGTCATTGTGATGTAGTGTACGACGAGGGTGTCAAGTTGTTTGGTATTGTTGAAGTAGGTGCTGGTAGTGGAAAGAAGTCCATGAGCTTTAAGAACAGACGAAAGGAGGAGATTGACAGCCTGATTGGAAAGAGGAAGCAGTTGAGGAGGAAGAAAAGGAAGGCAAGGAGTGAGATAGAGAAGGATGGTTATGAAGCATTACTGAGAGTGTTGGCTGGTCGTTTGATGAAGTTGAGGAGGGCTGAGAAAAGGAGACAGAAGCAGAGAGAGATAAGGAGAGTTAGAGGGGATTTTGGACGCGACCCTTTCAAGACAGTCAAGGGAGTGCTAAATCCAAGTCCAGTGGGTGAGCTTAAGTGTTCAAAGGAGGAGCTAGATGATCACTTGGCCAGAACATACGGAGATCCAGCCCGGCAGCAGCCCCTTGGTATACTTGAGGGTCTGCCTGAGTGTGCTCCTGAACCCTCTGTTGCCTTTGACCTCACAACGGCATCCAAGAAGGAGTTTGAGGAGGTTGTAAAGAAGGCAAGGAGCAAGAGTGCCCCGGGTAACAACGGGATCCCGTACACAGTGTACAAGAGATGTCCTGGTATTGCCAAGAATCTCTGGGACCTGCTAAGAACTGGATATAAGTTAGAAGAATATCCTGACAATTGTAGGTATTTCGAGGGTGTCTACATCCCAAAGGCGGATGGCGACTTTTCACCAAGTTCAGGACGGCCTATTTCCCTGGGTAACATTCAAGGGAAGATCTATTTGGCGATCCTGGCGAAGAGGTTGACCAGCTTTGTTGTCTCGAATGGATATGTAGACCTCTCTATACAGAAGGGTGGTGTGCCAGGCGTCCGTGGGTGCACGGAGCATTTTGGTGCCATGTGGGAGGTACTGAAGGAGGCAAAGGTCAAGAAGAAGGATCTGAGTGTAGTATGGCTTGACCTGGCTAACGCTTACGGAGCGGTACCCCATGTTCTGATTGCCAGGGCCCTCCGTTTCTACAACGTCCCTGAGAAGGTTATCAACATTATCCTACGGTACTTCTCCGGGGTATTCGGAAGGTTCTCCTCAAGAACGGTGACATCAGACTGGCAGCAGTTTGAGATAGGAATCTTCATGGGGTGTGTGATATCAGTCATCTTGTTTGTCTTGTGCATGAACCTTGGGCATGAACACCTAAAGTCTAAGGTTCCGAGAAGCATTGAGTACATCAAGGATGACACACCAATACCAACTCTGAAGCTGTTTATGGACGATAGCTGTCTGACCACCGCACGTGCAGAAGATATGCAAACGTTACTCAATGTGTTTCAGAAGTATGTGGACTGGTCCAGATTTAAGTTAAAGTCCTCCAAGTCCAGAGCACTGGTGTTGAAGAAGGGAGTGGCTGTGAGGTGGGTTGAGGAGGTAGTGGTAGGAGAGGAGGAGGTGGAGAGAGAGTTGTGTTTGCAGTTGGGTGGTGAGGTGATTCCGAATGTGTCAGAGAAGCCGATAAAATTCCTTGGGAGATGGATAAGAGTGGAAGGAAATGACAAATCAGTCATCGACTCAACCAAGGTCGACCTTAACACTTTTCTTCGGAGACTCGATGAAAGTTCCCTTACTGGACTCCAGAAGTGCTGGGGATATCAGTACATGGTCCTTCCAAAACTGAAGTGGCCTCTTGCCATCTATGATATTCCGTTCACAACAGTTACCAGATGGGAACAGAATACCAACAGTTTCCTCAGAAAGTGGTTAGGGGTGGGGCACACTCTGAGTGGTCTTTGTCTGTTCAGTCAATCATCCAGTGTGGCCTTACCGGTGAGCAGCTTGACAGATACATGGAAGATAGAGAAGTGTCGACTGTTGCAATCTTATCAGACATCTAAGGATGACCTGATTAAAGCAGTCCAGCCCCAAGTTCGTTCTGGTAGAGTTTGGAGGCCTGAGACAGAACTGGAAGAGGCCAGAAGAGATTTGGTCTGTGAATCGGTGCGAGGGATGGTGCAACCTCAAAAAAGAGTTGGCATCGGTTTTGGTGACTGGAAAAAACCTTGGGAGAGGATGGATGAGCGGGAAAGAGAGAGGGAGGTTATGCTGAGAGTGAAGGAGAACATTGAAAGAGAGAGGGAGGTGCAAGTAGGTTCTCTGGAGATGCAGAGCAGGTGGGGTGAGTGGAGAGAGCTCGTAATGAAGACGGATTTGAGCTGGCATACACTTTTTAAGTATGGTGACTCACTTATTGGGTTCATGCTAAGTGCTGTGTACGGCACCCTCTTAACCCCCTCTATGGTTTCCAAGTGGAGTGAAGATGAGGATGGGAAGTGCAAGTTATGTGAGGAGAGGATGGGCACCATTCAGCACATTTTGGCTGGGTGTAAGGTGGCCCTTAGTCAAGGAAGGTATAGATGGCGGCACGACAAGGTTCTGAAGCAGATCTCTGAACAGGTTGTCTTCCATTGTGATCGCCGAGTGAACACTTATAAGAACAAGGCCGGCAATGGAAGACAGTTCATTGATTTTGTTCCTGCTGGGAGGAGAAAAGCAGGTACAGACGACCGGAAGGAGAGTCGTGGTTTTGGGATCCTGAGTGGGTATCGGGATTGGATAGTGCTGTCAGACCTTGAGGGGCAGCTTAAGTTTCCCAGTGAGATTGTGGAAACACGGCTGAGGCCGGACCTTGTGATATTCTCAAGGTCGGCAAAGACAGTTATTTGGTGGGAGCTAACAGTACCATCTGAAGAGCGGATCGCTGAATCGCACGAGTACAAACTCGACCGATACAGTGGTCTGCAGGCTGAGATTCAGGCGAAAGGTTGGTGCTGTTATAATGCCGCAGTCGAAGTTGGAGCTAGGGGAGTGGTTGCGCAGAGTTTGGAGAGAGCTGCGAGGAGGATTGGTTTTAGAGGAAGAGAGCTGAAGAAGCTGGTACGGGACAGTGGGAAAGAGGCAGCCCACTGTTCCAGATGGATTTACTTGTTATCGAGAAAGAGGGAGTGGGAGTTCAGGAAGGTTGGAGCTTGAGAGTTCACTATAACATCTAGAGGAACCATAAACGTTATCTCGTCGCCAATTGCGAGCTCTAACGGGTCTCCTCAAGTGACTCTCGGATCAGATGGTGGTTCAAGGGTGGACTGCTGGGGCGCCTGACAGGAAACCGTATTGCGATTAAAGCCCCGAAACGGTGTCAGGTTGGTAACTGATGATTCTGATCCATGCTCCTGTGAGTTTGCTGTTGTATCTCAACTTGCTAAACTGAGGCATCTCCGCATCTTGGGTGAATATGCGTACATCTTCATACTAAACCCAGGTGTGGCATGTGTCAGTGAATACGGGCGAGCGGATGCAATAGCGAAGGTGGTGTGGCAAGGCCTAAAAGACACAGTCAGATAGTTGTCAGCTCGCTGACTGTAAGGGAGAAGGTATATCCGTATTTCGCTGCTACTGATGCAGTCCTTGATCTGGCAATCAAGGCTTCTCTGTTTTTCGTCTAACTATGTACCGTTGGGCTTGTGGAACCCGTAAGGGGGACATACATAGGTTAGAATGGTTTTGTGCACCAAGAGGAGTGAGGGAATGAGGGTTGAAGAGAGAGAGCTTGAGAGTTGTTAGGGTGGTTAGGATCAGTAGGTGGAGTGTTTGGTTGGAGCTTTCTGTTTTTGCTGTATAGCATTTTAGTCACTCCGCAGTTTATTAACTGTGTCTCAACTCTAAAAGCGACGCCTGGCGACCTTGAGTCAGCAAAAGTTTATTCACTCAAAAAACATTCACAAGCCCTTTCATAAAATCTGATCCGTGGATTATAGTCTTAAGGTCAATCAATGATTCTTCGGAAATAAACTCTCAAAAAACTCAAAGCACTGTTTGAAACACCAACTTGTCATTAACAAATTTTGTT